AATAAAAAGAAAAATAGAAAGAAATGATAAAAAAAAAAAATAAAAAAAAAAAATAAAAATAAAGAAATAATAAGCGTGCAAGTTGAAAAAAGAAAAAAAAAAGGAAAATAATTAAAGTGCAAGTGAAAGAAGAAGAAAAAAAAAAGAAAGAGAAGAAATAAAAATGCATTTCAATCGTGTATCGATCTGAAAAAATCGTTGACGATGACTCTCCAGAGCGTGTCCGTCGGCAATTACTATTCAACGTTATACTACTCCTAATTGCCCTTCATTAATTCTTTATCCAGACAGCGTGAGGGAGTTAGACACCGTATACACACGTCGACGATTAGCCGCGTGAGGTTAACCGCGGACTGATAACGCTGTACCCGTGTATCATTAGAGACACATAACAACCCACCATAAGTATATATATATATATATATGTACATGTATGTATGTTTGTATATATATATATATGTATATGTATGTATGATACAATTGCTATACGTCACGTTTCTAGTTGTTCTATCATTCTTTCTTTTATATCTTTATTTCTTTATTTGACTTCTTATTTTACTCTTACGTACTATTTTTTTTTTTTTTTTTTATTCAATGATCGGTTTATTTAATGTGAATTGGAAAAGTGAGTGAAACATAAGTCGAATTAAATTCAAACAAATTTGTTGAAATTGAAACACTCAAACAATCCCATGTCCTACAACAACGAATGAAGAAACTTCTGAGGTTCAATTCTACTCAATATTTTCTTATTTTAGTTATATTTATTAATATTAATAATTATTATTGTTATTATTGTTTGACCAATTAGGAATTGACAAGTAAGATAACCGGATGATTTAAATCAAAGATAAAAAAAAAATAAAAATAAAGAAATTTCAATTAATTTCTCTAATACTAAACTTCAATTAATTTCTAATATAACATATTTTATTATTAAAATAAATTAAATTTAATAACCTAACCTATATTAAATTCAATACTATATTATATTAGTTGTCCTTCTCAAATAAAACTATTCTTTTATTTTTAAATAATAAAATAATAAAGGTAATCAAATTCAATATATTTCCAATAACATTTTCTTATTAAAATTTTAAGGTAAATCAAAAAAAAAATTAACTTAAATACTGCATTAGTTGTCCTTCAAATAAAACTGTACTTTTTTTTTTTTTTTTTAATAAAATTAAATAAAAAGGAAGAAATAATAATCGATAGATATCGTCTAGAATCAAACAGGATAATGGTTTATAACGGAACACAATTTTCATCCCCCTATATTATACAGTAGATTATTAAAAATTTGACGCTTAGTGAAGTGTTACCTACTACACGTAAAGGTTTTTTTTTCATGTGACCACAAGCTACAGGCGCCGATAGTTAGAAGTAGAAGTAGAAGCCCCGACGACGACGAACTTCTTATCGCAAATTGCTTTCCTGGTGTCAACTCGACAAGGACACAGATTATTGATTACCGTGACGTGACTTTCGAAATTTTCGAACGCCAACACACACACACACACACACATAACTGGTCATTGATCTTATCCTGCCGTCCAACTCGATATACTCGAAACAGGTATATAAATAAACTCGTATCTCTGTTAGTATGACGGACGGGATATCAGAAAGAGAAACAGAGAAAACACCATACTCTTAACCCATCTTTCTTAACGTGTGAATCGTGTGAATTGGCATTAGGAACTGGAAAGTTCATCGCCACAAATACACAAATCTCGGCCAGTGTTCTCGCCCCTGAGCTTGACCCCGTCCATTCGCGGTCTTCGTAGTCCACTTCTTTAAGATCCTCAAATAATATTGTCCTCCCATCGACGTTTCAGCCCACCCAGTGGTCTTTTCCCGTTCGGTATACCGATCAGTATTTTATACGCCGTTCGATTCACCCCCATGCACGCCACGTCACCTGCCCATCTATAATCGGCGTTGATTTTACGACGTTAATGATGTCCGGTTTTGTTGTACGGTCGGTGTACTTCTACTTATGGGGTTTTTTCTATTACGCCCGTTTCCTCATCGCGTTTTACACCGAACATTTTACGAAACCACTTTATTTTCTAAACCTTCAATTTCTTTTGATCCCGTAACGTAAGTGACATCACGTTTCGCTATCATAAAGGACCTATCGGTAGGATGATTGTCCTATATATCTCGATTTTCAAGCACCTAGACAGCAACCGTGAGCTGAGTAATCGTTCAAACATTAATGATGGTAATTAACACACACAATTAATTGTGAGTCCCATTTATTAGCACGTAATTTAACCCAAAATAATTTCGTAATCCCAATATTGTGTTGTGCAAGAAGAGGTTTGACAAAATGTAGAAATCGTAGAAAATAAAATAAATAAATAATATAACACAGGAGACCACTGGAGACCACACCACACTGGACCAGACCAGTTGGTAGTTGGCGCCGGAGGGGTCCTTTTAAACATGGTCCTTTCAAGCTGAGAAAAGATTTAGGATAAAGACCAATACTAGCGCGACAATACTACTAACAGCAGCAGCAGGCAGCAGGCCAGCAGCAGGTAGAAGAGATGAGATGAATGAAACAAATGAGGGTAAGATAATTAAAGCTCTCGAAACGCCGAGCTCCAATTTGGGACCATTAGAATCTCTAAACGTTGTCGGTCAATCGAGGTCCCCTACTCATCGGTGGGGGAAGGAAGGAAGGCCTTTATCTCGGGAAATATCTCTGATTGTTAAAAGAGGCGAGAAAGGAACCTTTTCTTTTAAATCTTTCTCTTTCTTTCGAAGAAGTTGGATAGCGACGGGGTCTCGGACTGGTACATCCGGTTTTGTTAGGACCCCCATAAATGTCCTTGGCACCTTCGTTAAAGCTTATTCGAATGATATGATCAGGACGATACAAATAAGTCAAACTAATTTATATCTTGCTGTTTGATTTTGTTCAACATCGTCAGAACTATTCTCGTATTTTTTCCTATTCTATGCAATACTAGTCTTAAATAAATTCTTTCTCGAAATGTTGATGAATAAAAAAACAAATAAATGATCAATAACAATAAAAAGATTGTTTTCTTTACCGTTGGAAGTGACGGAAGCACCGTCGTGATGACTGGCGTCGCTATCTTCGTCAAGATTGCTATTGCTCAAGGAAGATTTGGATTGATGTCGAACGCTTAGATCCCTAGGTGTGGAAGGTGGACTTCCAGGTGGTTCTTGGGCTGGCAGAACCGACGGGTGTACTTTGCTCGAAGCACTTGCAAGAATATCGGTGATCATGAACCTCGATCTTTGGGGCATAGTCGTAGGTGCACTACCACCTCGTGGTAAACTGTTATTGTGATTGTTATTGTTGTTATTGTTATTGTTATTATTATTATTATTATGACTCTTGTTTCTAGTAGCATCTAAACCATTGGAAAGTAATTCCATGGCTACTCCTCCATTTCTATCGACAATATTGTCCAAATTGTGTGCATCAAGGCCTGATGACATTCTGCTTAAATTAAGTCCGTTCCCGGCGACGGCAACGCCGACGCCACTGAGAGCCGCCACGTGGTGGTTCTGATGATGGTGGACCGTCATTACGGTTGACGTCGGTGGTTCCTTCGGGCTAAGGGCACCAACGGGTGCCTCTGTCGCCACGCCAGGACTCGTCCTGTACCTGGGAGAAAGAATCTTGCCGGATGATCCAAATGTTTCTTTTGCCACGAACAAATCACTACCCACCTAATCTTTCCTTTTCCTTTTGATTTTTCTACAACTATTTCGTTTCCTGGTTTTCTGTTTTTTTCTTTTTTTTGGATCGTTAGATCTATTAGCAAAAGTGGGTTTTTTAGAGTCTATTTTGAAGAAACCTTTTATATTGTCTTGTTTGTTTAAATCACCGTTCACTGTATCCAATGTCTTGTTGATCGCGTAATTCCATCAATCTTAAATTCATCCATCGGGATCTCAACGATCTCGAGGAACATTACAAAATAATTCGATTCACCTATCAAATATTTTGATAACAGAACAAAGTGTCAAGAAATTTTATCTTTATCGATTCTAATTGAATGACACAATGATGACATCAAAAATGTTATTTCTATTTCAAACAAATCCCCAATTTATCAACCGATAATCGATGTTTAATCGATCAGATTGACATGATAAGTCAATAAGTCATAAAGTTAGGTATCGAATGACTTTTCGTTTTTTTTTTCTTTTTTCGTTACACCTTGCTTGCACTTCCTTCCTTCCTTTCTTACTTCCTCCCTCTCGTCAACACGTTTGCTCCACCTCCGCCGTTCGTTCGCTTGACCACCACCACCTTAACGTCTCGGACGCAATTAAGGGGCCGCTCAGCTCCGGCTCCTTGCTTAATTGCTAATTGCCCACTTAACATAATTGCCAAGCAGAATTGCGCGCCTGCCGGCCATTTCCGCTTTCCTTTTCCTTCTCTCCTTTTCCTTTACCCAAGCCAATTATTAATTATGATTTTATTTCTTGTTTTTTTCTTTCCTTTTTTTTTTTTTTTACGTAAGGAACGAACCTTTTGATAAGACTTCAGATTCTACACCTTTCTAATTTTCTTCTTTCTCTTCACTTATTTAACAGTTCAATGTTTAATTAATTCTCATGAGTTTTGCACATAGTTTGAATATTCAAGTTTCAAGTATCACTCTCTCTCTCTCTCCTCTCTCTCTTGTTTCAACACTGTTTTTGGTTACACTGATGATCAAGTTCCAATCTTCGAATTTATCAACACTTTTTGTTATCATACAAAAATTCTATTCAAATCCTCTTATTCGTCATTCGAAAATCTCATTAATCCCAAAAATTAGAAACCAAGAAAACACATAAACACCGGTCATCGAACTATCACGATTTATCATACGTCCATTTTAATTAAACGATGTCCTCTTCCTTATTTATTCACAAATATATTCACGATAATATTATTGGTCCTGTCTTATACCAAAATCTCACGTTAAAATCACTATACTAATACATTATAAATCATAATTTTTTTCATAAATTTAAAAAACAAATGATGTCACGATTTTCAATTACGATCAAGTCAAACAATAATTTTTATCAATAATAAGGAAAAGGGATTAGGTATAATAATAATATTAATAATAATAATAATAATAATAATAATAATAATAATAATAATAATAATAATAATAATAATATTAATAATATAACAACGAACTATATAATGTGTCGAAAAATCACGAGGCGTACACGGAATGTGCATCGAGTTGCCTCGACTGGTCTGTCTGGACTGAATGTCTCTTCCAGGCGCCTCCACTGAATCCTGGGCGGCCATATCGAGTCTACGCCACGCCCTAATTTAACCCCACCACTAATTCCTATCGACCAATCCAGTAACGTTAAGTTAAGTAGTCAGCCAATCGTTTGACAAGCAACCACGGCGCCTCTGCTACGTGCCGCGGATACGCCCAGGTAATTTGAAATGTGTTTCAGCGGTAATTCGATATAAAATTGTAGTTAATATCTTTCATTATAGTCAACTTGAGGTGAAGGGGGGGGAGAGGGACTAGCGAGAGGAGTAGGGAGGGGACTAGTGGGAAAGGTAGGGGGGGGGGTAGCAGAAGCAGCAGGGAATGGAATGGAATGAAATGGGCAAGGGGAAGGGGGAATTTGGTATCGAAGAGGCAGCTCTCGGTGAGTCGCTTTCTCTCTCTCTTTCTTTCTCTCTCTCTCTCTCTCTCTCTTATCGTGAGTCCGGAGAACGAAAGGAATTAGAGTAGGAGGGGGGTTGGAGGCGGGGAGGTTTGCTAGGACCACTGGATAAAGGGGGTGGTGGTGGGAGTTACTCGACACGAGTTTCTCCCACTTCTTCGGCAGCTTCTCTCTTCGAGATGGGCTAACACACACATAGAGAGAGAGAGGGAGAGAGTAGTCCGAACAAGAGATAGAAAGAGAGTTAGAGAGAGTGAGATGCTTGGAGACCACCTGGAAGGGGGTTGAAGTGAAGAGAGTCAGAGAAGAAAAAGAGTGGGGTGGGGAGAGAAGGGTACACTAGCCTAGCTCGGAGTTACCCGGCGAATTTACGAATTCATGAGACCTTCGAAGGGAAAGAAAGAGAGACAGAGAAAGAGAGAGAGAGAGAGAGAGAGAGAGAGAGAGAGGCCACTCCCGTCAAGGAACACTTTTTATGATGTGGTTTTCATGGCTTTCATCGATCATTGAACGATTCGTTCGATCGTAGAAACGATTTTGCGGTGAGGATGAAAGAAATCAACTAAAAAAGTGTTATCAGTAAATATATGAAAACCGATAGTATTGTAAATAAAACTATCTGAGCAAAAAAAGAAAGACAGTCCTATGTATTTCTGACAAATAATTAATGTTAACGAACAATGAAACAACGAGTGAAAGTAAAATGCAAGCAAGGACAATTTGTCCTGTGAATAATTCAAGAGAGGTACACTTTTCAAATCGAATTAGTTACGTTGAAGTTGAGAGCAATGGAAGAATCATCGAAAATTAGGGGGAGGGTTGAATGGTGACATCATTTCATTAAATAGGGGTGGATAGTTTCTTTGATCCCCCGTACCTGCCGACTACAATGTAACAGTCCCATATGGTACATCCGGTAGATATCGGGAGACCTTGATGACCGTCTAATGTTTTATATAGATATATAGACATATATATATATATAACACACATGTATGTATTTATAGAATATGTATAAAGTATTCTCGTCATGGAATATATATATAGTTGATAAATAGATTTCGCCATAGAGACAAGTGTATAAATTTACAAAAGGTATATATACAGATAAAATGGTCATATATGTAAGTAATAAAATATATCTCATGTGGTATATTGCAAATCGTAAAAGGTAAAGATTTAAACGAGTCCTACACCGATAGGAGCACGCATGCGTAACGACGGTATTCTAATCGTTAACTCGGAACGAAATATACGAGGAGATGAAGGAGGAGGTGATGGTGGAGGGAGGAGGATATATAAAAGTATCTTTTATTCTATTCTGAAGTATCATAACACACTTGCTAACTATCATTTTTCGATAAATAAAAAAACAACAACAAACCGTACGATATCTTTCAACATATTTATATGCATGCATACGTTGTACATGTGCATAAAACATATATATATATATGAGTTGGTATTAATATATGTGCAATGTATTCGTGCGTATTCGCGAGTACCTTTAACACAGTAGGCGAATTATTGAATAAAACATGAGAGGAGAGTTAACTGTGGGAGTGTGTTAGTGTTTAGTGTATTTGTGGTTAGTGTGTTGTCGCGACTCGAAGGCGACGAAATGAAAAGTTAATGGCGTTAAAGAGCGCAAGCTTATCACTCGCCAATTAACTTCAAGCAGAGAAAAAGCAAGCAAGCAAGCCGTGGGGCACACACTTCGCTTCCACTTCCGTTTTACACTTCCAACAAGTAGCTGTGAACCTACCTTTCTACCTTTCTACCTTTCTACCTTTCTCTAATCTTCGTGTTTACTTCTCTCTCTCTCTCTCTTTTTCATACTAACGGGTGGGGAGGGTGATGAAGAGAGGGGAGTGTTTCTCTCAGCATGAGACGAGACTCAAATATATTAATATGAATGCGTGGTGTTAATATACGTAGAAGAAACGCATCCAGCCCTCAGGATATTTCTCGTTTAAATATACATGAGAAGTCGTGCAAACCTCCCTCTCTCTTTCTCTCTCTCTCTCTCTCTCTCTCTCTTACTTGCTTACTTGCTAGGACGAAGGGCCCGTAGAGTCGAAGTGAAAAGTTAAAAGCGTTAAAACTGCCTCTTTATCGAGTTGCCAATTAAGCCTCATGAATCGTAGAAGCTAACTTTTCTCTATGACACACACACACACATACACATATATCCTTGTAAAAAATAAAAATAAAGGAAAACAAGGGAAAGATAAAAGTTGGATGTGAATTTTGTATCAAAAAGAAATATTTATACTTGAATACTTATTTCTTTTTTTTGTTTTTTTTTTTTTCTATACAGGAATAATTTATAAAAGAATTTATGATGATATTGTAAAATAAAACGTGATAGTAATTAATGTTAAATAATAATTAGATAATTATAAACTAAAAAAGATTGTAGAAATGTTTTTGAACTAACCCTTTTGGAAAATATTTATACTTGAATTAAATTTTTTTTTTTTTTACAGGAAATATTTATAAAAGTATCTACGATGATATTGTAAAATAAAATAAAACGTGACAGTAACGTAACATTAAATAATAAATTAAAAAAACAATTAAGGTTTGATAATTTAAGATTGTACAATAGAAATGTTTTTGAACAAGCCTTTAGAATTTTTCATTGGCTTCCTAAATTTAAAGGGTTGCAGATAAAATGACAAGTATATATAGATATATATATATATAGGTATATATGTATGTAGCTTGTTTTTTTTTGGTATCCTTTACAAATGTTGCAATGGAATGATCGGAGTCGTATATCGAAATACCATTCGATCCTATGTTTTGTACTATACTTGTAATCATATTACAAACGAGCAAGGTGAGAAAGGTTTTTTTTGTTCCAACACGTTTTATTTGAAGGCTTCTATTTGTTTTTTCTTTTCTTTTCTTTCCTGTTTTCTATATTTATATATATCGTATGTATATTTTTTGTTCTATACGACGATTGAAAATGATATGAATCTAATTAAATACAAATTTACAAAATCATTATGTTACGTCGTGTAACTTATCGTTAAAAGATGTTAAAAAAAAAAAAAAAAGGAAAAAAAATACAAATAATTTAATTCAGAGCGTGCTGTTACCTGGCAGCTGCTACGAAAAGGAAAAACGTATCGTAGAAAGGTCGACATACGATAAAAGTCGTGGAATTAACGATCCTTTAAAACGCTCGTAAAATTTCTCCAGATAAAGATCCTCTACCTTCAAACTCACCTCTTCTGTCGTAGTTAAGTTCTATCAGTGTTTATACTTAAACTATTATACTTACTCCTATATAACTATATATATGTAACCATGAAAAGAAAGTACAAATTGCATTTACACGATAAAGAAATGAAAACACTTTTCTATACTTACAAATGTTATCTTAAAACGCGCGCGCGTTGACTTTTTTTTATTACACACCATTAATTCCCAATACCAAAAAAAAAAAACTATATGTAATAAATAAATATAATAAAAAGAAATAAATCTTCTGTTAGTTCTAAATAATTATTCATAATCTATCTATGTGTAAAATTAGAAAGAAAAAGATAATGTAATAAGTATACGTATGTATATATACAGGTTGATTCATCAGCACTTGACACCTAAACAGTTCCAAAAGTCTCACGGTGACCGAAACATAAATAAAAAATAAGTTACATGAAAATTTCACGACTATAATATGATTACGACTGTATAATATATGATTTTAGTATTTCTTTCTTAGGCTCAGTCATTTTCGAGATTTATTATTCAATTTTGCTATTTTTAAATACAATGTTATATTTAAATACTCATTTTCGGATAGCGTCTGACAAGACGAATCCAACGATGTGCAACATTAAATACAAAACCTGACCAATGACCAATAAAAACAATTCGAAAAATATCTGTTCCGTCAGTTGTCGAAACAACTGAAGGATGACACAACTCTGACACAACCCTGACACGACCACGACGCCACCTGAATCGGAGGAGCTGTATTGTGGCCGGCTTGTTCGCCAGTTTTCACCTTCGTTGATCATCAAAAATATTAATGTTGCATATCATTGGATTCGTCTTGACAGCAGCTATCCGAAAATAAATATTCAAATATAACATTGTATTTAAAAAAACAAAGTTGAGTAATAAATCTCGAAAATGACTGAACTTAGGAAAAAAATACTAAAGTCATATTGTAGTCCTGAATTTGTCATGCAACTTTATGTTTATCTTACTTTCATACTTTCGAAGTTGTTTAGGTGTCAATAGCTGGTGAATCAGCCTGTATATATACAGAAACGAATAATAATGTATACACAATATAATGGTATGGTTACACGCGTACATAAGAAGCTACTACCGTGCACGATTCGTCGTCGTGTGTACCGGTAAAACGAGCGTGAGCAAACATGTTGAACGAGGTGTACACGCGCGAATAATAAGTAACGCTTATGTGTAAGTGGGCCTTGCTTGTTGGTAGTAGTTAGGTAGGTAGGTAGGTAGATAGGTAGGTAGGTAGGTAGGTAGGTACGGACCTCATACCGTGTCCAATGCATATTCATACGGTCATACATTATAGCACACAGTGCACGGCC